GGCAACGGGGACACGTGACATCTAGCTGCATTCCTCTAGTAGCTAAGCGAGTCAAGGTCGGTAAAGCTTGGGATAAGATACGCCATAGAAAATGCTTAATTTTTGGAAGAACTGATAACTTCCAAATGTTATTTTTTAATGCAATAGAACCATGCGGTCTACATGGTACATCATTTAGATTGTGTGGGTCATGCATCAAAAGCCAATAACCCGAACGAACCGTATAAACGCCAGAATTATTATAATGCCAAATCAGCTTATCCGAAGACTCCTGTCTTGAAAGGTGAGTATTAATCAACAATTGCTGATCATCTTGAGAAATTTCCGCAGTAATTTTTGTCGTATTCCAAGATCGATAAGAACCATTTTTAATTATCAGATCTGAACAAAGAATCGGTGCTGAAGAACTAATTGGAGTTATAGGTCTTGGAGGATGAACATTTAAAACATTATCAATACCAAGGCGTACAGAAGTTCCATTACCAACTATATATCTGGCTCCTTTCTTTAAAACATCAATACCCGAGAGGAGAGATGACCAACCATAAGACTGATAACTTCGAACTTTTGCATCCAAAATAGACGTATCCGGAAAATATCTAGCCTTCATAACACGTGCAAACAAAGAATTGGGATGTTGAAGTATTCGCCAGGCTTGTTTAGCAAGAAGACCATCATTAAATTTTTCTAAATCATGAAAACCAAGACCACCCTCTTTTTTAGAACACTGTAATTTTTTCCATGCTATCCAAGGTATTCCTCTCTGCTGTGCGCTTTTTTCCCACCAGAAATGCATCAGTAAAGAATCAATTTCAGCTATCACTCCTTTTGGAAGTTTGAAACAGGACATTGCATAAACTGGCATAGCTAAAGCAACTGATTTAATCATTACTTCCTTTCCTGCTGGAGATAAAAAATTTGCACTACAGTTGGAAGTACGTTTTTTAACACGATCTATGATAGAAGCAAACATCTCTTTCTTCTTTCGACCAAATTCTTCAGGTAAACCCAAATATTTACCCCCTCCTCCATGTTTAGTAATTCCTAGGATGTTTTTGAGATATTGTTGAGTTGATCCATAAACCCGACTTCCAAAAGTTATCATAGATTTATCAGCATTTATCTTCTGTCCAGAATAGTATTCATACACATCAAAGACATCCCTAAGAGCTTGACAGTTCCGCCGATTAGCTTGACAAAAAAATAAGGAGTCATCGGCAAACTGAAGATGAGTAATACCCGGTACTCCATTACCAATCCGAACTCCTCGAAGTTCACCATCTTTTTCTTTTGAAGTAATCAGATGACTTAAAATATCAGAGCAAAGGATAAAAAGATAAGGTGATAAAGGATCACCCTGTCGTAAACCCCGTTCTGGTTTAACGTAGCCATAAGGTGCTCCATTAATAAGAATTGCGTAACTCACCGACCGCACTGTAGCCATTATCCAGTTAACCCATTGTTCGCAGAAGCCAAACAATTTTAATGTTGTTTCGAGAAAATTCCATTCAACCCTATCGTATGCCTTACTAACATCCGTCTTCACAGCCATATAAGTTTGAGACACACGTTTACGAACTTTAAGCGAATGCATAACTTCATGCGCTATCATAACATTATCTTGAATAATTCTCCCAGGTATGAAGGCTGCTTGTGCGTCAGAAACAATAGTATCCAGATGAGACTTCAAGCGATTCACCAAACATTTTGAGATTATCTTATATAGAACATTACAAAGAGCAATAGGCCTATAGTCGGAAAGAGTTAACGGGTTGTCTATCTTCGGGGTCATACAAATATTTGTATGATTGATGCCTTGACGCATGGAACATGAATTAAAAAAATCTTTGACCTCCTGAATTACTGATTGCCCAACAATGTCCCAACATTGTTTGTAAAATCTAGCTGTTAGACCATCCGGGCCCGGAGCTTTATCATCCCCAATATGACAAACAGCTAAATAAATTTCATCATCACTAAAATCTCTTGTCAAGACCGAGTTCATTTCCGCTGTGACTGTTGCTTGAAAATCAGCAAAATCAATGGTTGAAACATTGTGCCCATTACTTGTATAGATATCCGTGAAGAAGCGCTGCGCATAGTCCCCAATATCCTTAGCATTATGATACTGGTTCCCTTTATCATCACTTATAGACACAATTCTATTACTGGAGAATCTGGATTTAGCACACGCATGAAAAAAACTTGTGTTACGATCTCCCTCTAACATCCACTGATTTCTACTATTTTGCTGCCAATATTGCTCCTCATCACTATAAGCTTTTGCTAGTTCTTCTTGTAACTGGGGAATGCGTTGACGTTCTGAACGAGAAAGACTTGCCATTGCCATATCCAATTGAGATTGAAAAGCTCTTATTCGTGTTTCAGCATTCATGTCCGCTTTACGCTTTAAACGAGAAAGGGAATAACGGCAAGAACGGATTCGAGCTTGAATGGGAACATGATTATACATGGTTGAAGCAAGCCAACCTTCTCTCACAGTTTCCTTAAAAGTTGGAACTGAACACAATCGTTTATCAAACCGGAAGCTCCGACGACGACTTTGCTGGGAGGCATGAAGCTTCACAAGAACGGGCTTATGATCAGATCCTGTGAACTCCATGAATTCAGCTTCAGCATCAGGAAAATTAGCTGTCCAAGCTCCATTTATAAAAACACGATCCAAACAACATTTAACAGTGTGATTCGAGCGCTCCCCTACCCATGAAAAACGATCCCCACTTGAGCGAAGATCAACTAAATCACAAACCGAAACCATATCCCGAAAGTCTCTAAAAGTCCATTCTTCTCAACGAGGCCCTCCAATCTTTTCATTATTTGTTAAAATTTCATTAAAATCCCCAAAAAGTAACCAAGAGTCTAAACGAGTTGGGGCTAGACTTTTTAAATGATCCCATAAAACATAACGTTCACTTTGAGTTGGATGACCATAGACACAAGACAAATAGAAATACTTATTTTCATAAGATACATACAAATCAATAAGTCTCTGATCCTGAGAAATCAAGGATAGAGAAATATTGTTCTTCCACATCACAGCCAAGCCACCACTTCTTCCAATGGGGGGCTGGATGATAACGTTAGGAAATCCTAAATCACACACCAGTTTATGTACAACATCACACTTATTAAGAGTTTCAACTAAAAATAAAACATCACACTTAGTTATACGACATAAATGAAACAAACGAGATTTCGTCAACGAGCTAAGTCCTCTGCAGTTCCAGGACACCATCTTCATATTGGAATGTCTGGGGGTACCGGGCCCCCCGCGCCTCCGTCGAATCCTTTGTTAACCGAGTACGAGCTACCAGATTCTTCAGCCTTATTCTTCTTGCGGAGATGGCACATGACCGCCATTTCCTCAGCCGCTTCAGCCTTGTTAAACTCATTCTCAAACCTCACTCTCTTCCTCTTCAGAAATCCAAATTCCGGTTGAGCATCATCAGAGAATTCATCCAACAAGTTTCTCTTGGCAGATCCAATGAACTTGGCATGAAGATAGCGCAGTCTCTCAGCAGTCAAGTCAGTATCTTCAAACAAACTAGGAAGACCAGACATGAGAGGTGTTGAAAACTGATGAGAGCGACCAGTAGCATTTGGAGGAGGCATCTGAATTCCTGGAATGAGAGTTGCAGGATCAATAGATGGAAGAGACCCATCCTCAGCCATGTCTTGTACTCCCTGATTCTCATTTCTACCATTGTTGTCATCATTGTTGTTGTTATCATCATGATCCAAATCTGAATCCTCATTTGGTTCCTCTGGATCCTCATCATCAAAGTCCAAAGTACATTCTCTGACATCATGGTGGAGAGAACCACACTTGGTACAGAAATTACGAAGCCTCTCAAATCGAAACTTCACAACGGTATTCTCACCAACCACAAACTGAACATTCTTCTGAAACCGTAAAGGAGAGTCTACATTCCAATCTATCCTAACCCTTACAGAACCCACTTGGTTCGCATTCTCATCATAATCTGTCTCTGTAACCAAACCTAATCTGTTTCCAACCCATCTAGCCATTGAGTTTGTAAGGTACAGAGTTGGAATACCTTGAATTTGGACCCAGAAAGGGATGATCTTCATCTCTATCTCCGATATGTTAGGATACCAACGATGAGTCGTAACCATCCAATCATTAAAAGACCAAGGACCCCGACGAAGCACCAGATTCATGGATTCCTCAGACTGAAAACGAAATTGAACACGGCCACCGTCGAGTAACCGTCCCACACATGCTTCCGCAAAACCTCAAACTCTGGGCATTTGCCTAACCATCGCCCTCAGATTTTGCTTACGAGGATTGACTGGAGTCACCACAATGGAGAAACGGTTAATTGAAGCAGCCTTTGAAACAAACTCCGGCGGCAACACAACTGGAGCATCGTCGATTCCCAGATCGAGATCTTGAACGGACTTTCGGAGTGATACACTCATTGAAATTTGTTGGTGGGAGAATAAAGTCAGAACTGGAATTTGTAGAATAAATCGAAGAAAGATATATAGGTGTGGCCATGGCGGTTTTGACAGACGGTTAACTCCCGAAGAAGAGGGAGACAAAAAACTGTCAATGAAAACTGACAGAACAAAACCGCCGACAAGATCGAAAATGAAAACAACACACGATTTATCGGTCGGAAAAGAACTCCAAGCCGGAGTAGAAAGCCGAGAAAATCGGCGGCGATAATCGCCCAAAACGTCGCCTCTCGAGAGAGAAGCCATAATCGCCCGATCCCGATCCCCAGAGCTTATTTTCTATACATAAATTTTCTATACATAAATTTACACTATTTTTACTAACAATAAATACCTTTTTAATGTTTTGATTACCACCACCAGTCTTTTAAGGATAATTAAATAAATAAAGATACTTTGACTTATAAATAATTAAGATAAATCCACGTGGCATCCATTGACTTTTCAAACGTAGTAGTCGCCATGTAAACAGAGGAAACAAAAAAAATCTCATAACCTTAGTTTCTTCAGAGAGAGATCTCAAAAGAGAAGAAGAAGACGAACTCTACGAAACGATGCCGTATTACACCACCGACGACAATGACGTCGACGACTTCACAGACTACGATCCGATGCCGTATAGTGGAGGCTACGACATCACCGTCACCTACGGCCGTTCAATTCCGCCGTCCGACGAGATTTGTTACCCTCTCTCGTCTCGCTCCGGCGACGCGTTCGAGTACCAGCGACCTAATTTTTCGTTAAACCACGATCCTTCTGCTTATGAAGACCAAGCTCTTAAGACCGAGTACAGTAGCTATACCCGACCCGGACCCGGTGGATCTGGTTTTGACCGGAAACCTAATTCTGGATACGGCGGAAGAACGGAGGTTGAGTATGGTCGGAAACCTGATTCCGGTTATGGAGGAAGAACTGAGGTTGAGTATGGCCGGAAAAGTGAATCGGAGCATGGATCTGGTGGTTACATGAATCCTAGCCATGGTGGTCACAAGTATGTTGATGAAGAGAGTCACAAGAAACATGTAAGTTTGTGAAATTGAAATTGGATTTTTCACTAAGTAAGATATGCTCTGTATCTAGATCTCACTGTAGTTTCAATCTCTGGTTTGTGTGGATGAGTTTGAAATGAATGGTTATGTAAATGTTGTAGAGTGGGAAGGAGTATGATGATGATGAGAAGAGTAAGAAGAAGGAACATCATGATGATGATTATGATGAGAAGAAGAAGAAGAAGAAGGACTATGGTGATGATGATAAGAAGAAGAAGCATTATGATGATGATGATAAGAAGAAGAAGCATTATGATTATGATGATGATAAGAAGAAGAAGCATTATGATTATGATGATGATAAGAAGAAGAAGAAGGAGTATCATGATGATGAAGATGAAGAAGAAGAAGGATCATAAGGACTATGATGATGATAAGAAAAAGAAGCATTATGATTATGATGATGATAAGAAGAAGAAGGACCATAAGGACTATGATGATGATAAGAAGAAGAAGCATTATGATTATGATGATGATAAGAAGAAGAAGAAGGATCATAAGGACTATGATGATGATAAGAAGAAGAAGAAGGATAAGCATCACGGCCATCGTGAAGACGATGACTAAAAGGTCGTCTCTCGAATCTGGATTGCATTCTTATGACTAAATAAGTAACCTACCTAAGCACATTTCTCTCTGCATTTATGTTAACTGTTGTTTTGTTTTTGCTTTCATGTTTGTTCTAACTTCGATGAGACCTCGACTAGTCATATGGAATATGTGTAGTGTGCTTGTTGCTAGTGATGTCGTTTGGTTTAATGAATCTCCCTATTACTCTCTTACGTCTTACCTGAAAATGACATTGGAGAGGATCCCTTAACATGATATATATCGGGTTTTGGCTGGTTTTACTCGGCTGATTGATTTGGCAAGTTTTACTCATCTGTCGGAATTTGCGAGTTAAGTTATCTACAAGACCAGCCGATTTCCGACTATGGTGTTTCAATTAGTTAAGAGACTGACATCGGGTACGCAATCGGGTTTTGGGTAAATCGGTATAAGATCTATAGATCCCATTCGGTAATTTACAAAAAATCCGTTTCGGTACGATTAGTAACTGGCCGGGTTTGGAGCGATTTTCTACTCCAATACAAAATCCAAACTAACCCAAAAAATTTCCGGGTTATAATCAGTTTGGTTTATTTGAGTAAAAAATACTCAAATAACCGATTAAAACCCAAGATACCCGATTAAAATTAGAAATATCCAAGTAAATAATTAGAAACAACCAAATAAACTATAAATTTAAACCATAACATTAAGTTTCAACATAACACAATCAAATACCATAACATTAAGTTCAATAATCTCACAACCAACTTTAAAAGAAAAAGATAGAACAAGTTCAAATAGCCTATAAAAATTGGGAACAATGTCATCTAAGGCTTATTGGGTCAAGGTCTTATTAGTCTTATTAGGCATGTAGGTTTAAACGGGTATAAAACGGTGGCCCATTTAACTTAAGCTACAAACCTAACCCGGACCGAATTCCATTTTACCAAGGCTTGTGAGCCCATTCGGTATTTTTGCTTAACCCAACCCTACCCGATACTGCTTTTATCGGTTTGGTTCCGGTACGGTTCTTCGGTACTGGATATTATGCCCAGGCCTAGGCCGACCCGCCATATATTAGTCTTCCCCCGCCGTATATTAGTCTTCCATCATATTCTGAACTGATGTTCCAGAGCATAAAATTTGAGTTTTCGGGTTAATGGATGTAGAACCCGTTCGGGTATTTTCTGTTTTTGAATCAGGTTCAGGTTCGGTTTTAAAGTTTAAATCCTGTTCGAGTGTTCCATAGTGTTCGGACCGGATTCGGTTGGGGTATTTTAAGTTAGATTTGGTTCGGATTTTCGGATTCGAGATGTTAATGGGCACTTTTTTAAAGGTCTAAACATTCAAAAAAGAGTCCATTAACGTCATAACAAAACTTATTATTTATATTTTCGTAAATATTATATAATGAACAAAAAAAAATGATACAACATCCCAAATATCCCACTAAACAATTGGCAATCTAAAGAAGTAAAGAGCCAATTTTTTTAATACTACACTACAAAACATAACCAAATTGAGAACAGAGAACATATTCATCAGAGAACTAAACTTGCATCAGAAACTCTATTAAGGTTTTCTATCTTACTCACAAATTGTTTTGACAGACATTGCAATAAATCAATGTCCCATGTCTATTATGCAACAAACAGAATAAAAGAAAAAACCTCAACATTGGTCGACTAAAACACCAAAATCTTTTAAACTTAAGAAAGAGACAACATGTTTTGATCATAGGAGCTTCTTCCTCTCCAAGAACGACTTGAGATGCCATAGTTGTAAACCAGCAACCGACATCGTGACAGCCAACGACAATACACTCATTACCGCCATTCTTGAATTCGTCGATCGGTTCAATTCTTGCATTTCACGCTCTCTGTCGCAGTTTCACATTACTCGTTACAAACCTCATCGAATCGAGTTTTGTATGACATTTTAAGAATATTAGTCTATGTAATGTGTACCTCTCTCGGAGCTGAAACATTTCTTCATGTATAGTTTCTGTCACGTCAAGTAGTTTCCTCACCTCTACCTCCAACATCTAAGATAACACATATTATAAAAAAGTTAACGTATACACAAAAGTTATGTTTTAAACACATATCTATATAGTTATGTTACATTGATTTGGCCTCTTTTGGCAATAGTGGTCCAATCTTTAGCTTCTACGCCACTTTTCCACTCGAAATCAACCGCGAATTTCGCGGTTGGTCTATAACCAGGAGCCACAAAACAAGTCATGTAATCCCCAGTCTCATCTGCCGTAAACACGAATTTCCCGGACACTACGTTCTCTGCATGATGATGGCTTTTCCCTTTAGGAGACGTTACCTATATAAAGAGATTTATATATATACATCAAACGCGTGACACGCCATCGAATGAATCATACTATATGATCTCAAGTTTAGTGCTTACAGTGACAAAGAGTTTGTGAGATGGTGGAAGCTGGTGACCTTCGTTTGGATTGACTATGGAATAAGTACCAACCGTCATGTAATTTGATTTGATATCATCGGAGATACATTTGTTGATGCCTGATTCCATATCTAATCTCATTGATTCTCCTCTTTGCATCATCATCATCATCATCATCATCGTTGTAACGATCCATGTTATGTGAATCTTACATCTTGATGGTACCAAATCCATCTTTACAGTTTCAAGAACAATGAAATGTTTGGGATTTGTTAGAAGAAAAAATAATAATAATGGTTTTGTCAAAAGTTTCTTACATTCTTCCGTGTAATAAGGTCAAAGGGATCCTATACTTACCACTTACACTTGTGGTTACAAAAAAACCTCGTCCACGAATTTTGTGTAATAGAGACGAGTAATGCAAAAGTATTTTAAAATCTTTTTATTTGTGAATTTAGTTATGGTAACCATTTTTTTAAAAATAAAATTAGGTCGACACATCTAAGCAAATAATGAAATTAATGAACCATTTAACAAGATAATAACCATATTTTCATGTGACTAAAACATTTATAATTATAACTTTTTTTTTTGGATATGAAATTAGACTTTCAATTTTGTAATTTGGATTTAAGATTACTTATTAGTAGAAAAATATTTAAGGGTTAATGCCTTATATACCAACGTCGCCTAAAGCTAAAATATTAATTAAAGGGTTTGTTGCAAAACTAGTTTTCAAAAGACCATTTTTGTAAAAATTAACCGAAAATGCAAATCAATCGTGCGAAGTAAAAATTAATACGCAATACAACTATGAATATAAACTGTTTTCATTTTTTTCTATAACATGCATATATATTTTTTCAAGAAGGCTTTTAATATATAATTCCTTAATAAGAATTTTAATTTTTTTCCTTAACATAAATTGATTTTTTCCCGTTTTATATCATATGTTATGATATTTTTTCTTTCTTTCTATATATTATTTGCATGAGATTTAAAAGGAAACAATAACTCTGTTTCTCTCCCATTTCTTGTTATAATTTTTCTTTCAACCAAAACTAATCTTGATTACCAGAAAAAAAAAGAAACTTGAAATCTTGAATCCAGCTCTTACACACCACAATTAAAAAAAAACAATAATCCATAACCAAAAATTAGAGAAACAGAGGATTTTATTTTTCGTTCTTGCTAGATTTTCCCGGGAAAAAAAAAAAAGAAATTATAATCTTTCCGGGAAAAGAAACCACCAAGAAGATCAAGAAAATATGAAGTTTGGAAGAGAATTCGAAACTCAGATGATCCAAGAATGGAAAGAAGCCTATATGGATTACCGTGCTCTCAAATCAATCGTCAAACAGATCCTTCGTTTCCGCTTACAAAAACAACAACGTTCTCATCCTCCTCCTCCTCCTCCACCTCCTCCTCCCTCGGGAGAAACCGCGCCGCACCAACCCCCGGGCGGCGCGGGGTTATCGAGAAGAATCTCCCTTTACCGCGCGTTCAGCGGTTTAACAAACCGAGCTTCTCGTTCTCCGAAAAAATCGCACAAACCTCATAATCCGCTGAGTAGTAAACGCCATCATCATCATCATTACCATTTATTCGACGACGACGAGGAACAAGTCATTCTGATTAACGAAGACGAGTCTGCGAGCTATACCACGACGTTTCTTAGCTCGGCCGAGGAAGGAGGGGAGATGGAGGTGCAGTTTTTTAGGCGGCTAGACGGCGAATTCAACAAGATTTTGAGGTTTTATAAGCAAAAGGTTGAGAATGTTATGGAAGAAGCTGATGAGCTTAGTAGACAGTTAAATGTTTTGATTGCTCTTAGAGTTAAAGTTGAGAATCCTCATGTTCATCTCCCTCCTGACATTAATAGTGTCTCGAGTGCTCCTGCTTCTCCTCATTCAACAATGAGGACTCCAGGTTTAGTGATGGAACCAAGAACATGTGGTTTAGTGATTTGTTTTACGAATTCTTGATTTAACTTTTGAGGTTTTGATATTGTAGCAACTTCGCCAATGGAAGTGATCAAAGAAATGGAACAGACAGAGGATAAGAAAGTATTTAAACCTGCTCCGGTCGAGATGTTGGATCATATAAAGCTAAAGATCGAGCCGGAGACGCCATTGTCAACTCTTAAAATGATGATCCTCGGTCTACCTAGCGAGCAAACGTTTAGTAAGCCCGAGCTTAAGAGAGCCGAGGAGCTTATGAACCGAGCTTTTGTTGAGTTCTATCAGAAACTTAGGTTCTTAAAGAGTTATTGGTAAGAAAATGTTATCTCTAAAGTTCTCTCTTGTTTCTTGAAAACTCTGTTTCTAATCATTACTCTCTTTGCAGCTTCTTGAATCAATTGGCGTTTGCAAAGATACTGAAGAAGTATGACAAGGTTAGTAATCTTCTAACTAAGAATCTTTTTTGTTTTCTTTATGTACTTGTTCTTACTTGGGAGATATGTGTATTGTTTATGCAGACTACTTCAAGGAATGCATCAAAGCCTTATCTAAATACAGTGGATCACTCGTATTTGGGTAGCTGCGATGAGGTTAATACATATATGTTTTCACATCTTCTTTTCTTTAGTGTTAGAAACCCTCCAGACAAATTATCTTTAACATTTTCAGGTCTCGAGGCTCATGTCGAGAGTGGAAGCGACGTTTATTAAGCATTTCGCCAATGGGAACCATAGAGAGGGAATGAAATGTTTAAGGCCTAAAACTAAGAGGGAGAAACACAGAACCACATACTTCCTTGGTACTCAGTTCATCTCTTCAGCTGAAGTTTTTTCTATTTATTTCTCATAGACTGAAACCTCATCTTTATCTATAGGTTTCTTTTCGGGTTGCGCTGTGGCTCTCGCCATTGCAATATCGGTTCTTGTACATATTAGAGGCATAACAGAAAGCGAGGGCCGGCATCAGTACATGGAGAATATTTTCCCTCTTTATAGGTCTGTTGTAAAGTTACATTTACCATTTTTGAAACCGAGGAAAAGGGTATAAGTTTGGAGTTACTAAATCATGTGGTTCTGTTTCTGCAGTTTGTTCGGGTTTGTTGCGGTTCATTTGTTTATGTATGCAGCAGACATATATTTCTGGAACAAATACCGAGTAAATTACCCGTTTATCTTCGGATTTGAGCCACGGAATGATCTTGGTTATAGAGAAGTTCTTCTGGTAGGCTCTGGCCTAGCAGTTTTAACATTCGGAGGAGTCATCTCAAATCTTGACATGGAAATGGATCCGAGAACCCAAAGTTTCAGTGTCATCACCGAGCTTGTTCCTTTAGCTCTTCTTGTTGTAAGTTCTGATAAATGAGATCATTGAATACCAATCTTTAACAATACATAGCTTTGAAACATATTTTACTTATGATCACAGTGCTTAATGTTTGCGCTGTTCTGTCCATTCAATATAATATATCGCTCGAGCCGACAATTCTTCGTTGGAAGCGTCTTTCGTTGTCTTTTAAGTCCTCTCTACAAGGTAACGTTCAATCCAAGTAAGAAAACTTGACAAAGACGTTACCTATAGTTTGTGAGTATGTTTTCCTTTGCCAGGTTATTCTCCCGGACTTCTTCCTCGCAGATCAATTGACAAGTCAGGTAACGAGTTGCTTAGTTTAGCATCTGGTTGATCTATATGTTTTCTTCCGTTACATAACATTGATTCGGTTTTGGTTTCACAGGTCCAAACATTCAGAAGCTTATTGTTTTATGTTTGCTACTATGGATGGGGAGGAGATTTCAAGAAACGAACACACACATGCTATGATAGTGAAATTTATAAAGAACTCTACCTTGTCGTTGCCATCATTCCTTACTGGTTCCGGTTCGCTCAGGTACTTAGAAAAATTAAATCCATAGTTTACATTACACAAGCAACTCTATTTGTCGCAAAACAATATAAATGTTTTCTTTACATAATCTTGGCCATGAAAACAGTCTATAAGGAGATTGGTGGAGGAGAAAGACAAAACGCACGGCCTTAACGCGCTGAAGTATTTGTCGACTATATTAGCAGTTGCGGCTAGGACAATTTTCGAGATGAAGAAAGGGACATACTGGCTAACTGTGGCTGTAACCACGTCGACAATTGCCACATTGTTCAATACTTATTGGGACATTTTCAGGGATTGGGGTCTCATGAACCGCAACTCCAAGAACCCGTGGCTTCGTGACAAACTCTTAGTTCCTTACAAAAGCATATACTTCATTGTCATGGTAAACCAAAAACAAACAGAAAATAAGGTTTGAATTATAGCGTTTTCGCGGGAATATTAACCGCTAGATTGGGATTTGAAATGAAGGTGGTGAATGTAGTACTGAGGCTGGCATGGATGCAAACGGTTCTTGGGATTAAAGAAGCTCCATTTTTGCATAAAAGAGCTTTGGTTGCTGTTGTTGCATGTTTAGAGATTGTTCGTCGCGGCATTTGGAACTTCTTCAGGTTCGATTTTACACATTAAACCCGATTTCACATCTTTTGATCCAAGAAAATGTTTTGAGTGAACTTTGTTTTTGCAATTAGGTTGGAGAATGAACATCTTAACAATGTGGGGAAATACAGAGCCTTCAAGTCTGTACCTTTGCCTTTTCAAGAACTTGGAGGAAGTAAGAGTGTGTAAATAAAATTTAGTATCCCCAAAAACCAAAAACAAAAAGAAGATAAATTCTAATTTATTTCTTACTAGTATATCAAATGAAAATTCATTCTTTTGAATTTTACACCATATATAAATTAACCTCTTTCGTTTGTAAACCTTTGTGGATGTAGCAAATAAATGGTGAATACAGGAAATGTATAATGGGTTTTATAATTTAAACAGTTTTTAGTTAATACATATCTAAATACTGTACTATTAAAAGAAAATACACTTTATAGATTATGGACATTTTTTTGTAAGAAACCGTGCCGGCCTTGCAATTATGAGGCCCAATACAATTTTTTTTTTATTGGTTTAATAAATAAAACTTAAAAGTTGAAACCAAATCTTAAAGTTGTAGAAAATGGGACCTATTTTTGCAATAAGAAAAAAGATAAAATTTAAACATGAAAATCAAATCTTAAACTTTGTCAAAAATGGGGCCTAATTTTGCAATAAAAATTAAAATTTTGGGGCCTATATTTTCATACCAAAAATGTCAATTTTTTTGGAGGCCCAATACATTAGTTTCTTTAAAATGTGTCAAGGGCCGGGCTTGGTAAGAAACTACATCACAATGAAGACAAAATAAACTATTTTCAATGCTCATATGTTGTGCTTCAAATTTTTGAAATCAAACCATATTACTTAGTCGATAAAGAAAATTAGAGCGTACTCAATTTTAGTGGAATTCAATTTACGTATACTTGTCCTTGTTATTATTACCGCAATAGAAATTATTATTATTATTATTGTTACCGCTCTAAACTTCATAAAAGGTATTAAATTTGTAGAATTGCATGTAGAAAATGTTGAAATCGCGCACATTAATACTATATTGTTTACGAAAAAACAACAAAGATACACTAAAGAGATTGTAGAACATGATATGTCTCGGATAAGGTCATGTGGAACGTTTGGAGATGTTTATTGAAATGCCCTCAGGGAAGAAAACAGCTGGTGCTCGAATCACCTTAGAGCCTTTGAACAACGAGAAGTCGTAATTGGTGATAAGGTAATGAAGGAAGAGTGAAATCTGAAGTCTCGCAAATTCTGCACCAACGCATTGTCTGACTCCTCCTCCAAACACCATGAAAGTTTTTGATCCGGACCGTACCTCTTTACCCTGCATTACCATAACCATCAATGTTGCAATTAATAGATTAGCTATAAAAAAAGTAGGCAGTTTTTAAAAACATTATTCCGCCCAATCATGAAGTTTTATTTGAATTAATGTGTGGTTGACAAAATAAACGAAAAAATTGTTATTCCGCCGAATGCATATAATTAACAAAATTTATGTTGAATGATAAAATGTTAAAAACAGTATATGATTTTTAAAAAAATTATCATTTTACGGAATAAAAATAGAAATAAAGAAACTAGAGAAATTACATTCATCTACTAAAAGCATTCACAATAGGAGAGACTAGGAATCAAGAAAAAAAAAAAAGAGAATTGTTTCTAGTTTTCTATAAGAATCTAAATATCTAAATTTTCGGAACCGGATTCGGATAGTGATTTAGTATATCTAGCCCGATCCAAATCTAGATATAGATACCCCAAGACTACTACTCTAAAGATGCCTTTCACATGTCAAAAACTCAAAATCTTATTCATTTTTTTTTTTCAATATTTTTTTATGTTAAAAATAATATATATATATGCCCATACATACCTCCCATCTCCATGGATTAAACTCGAAAGGATTTTCATAAATTTCAGAATCAAAATGAACCACTGAAGTTGCAACCAACACTACCCAACCAGCTGGAATCGTGTATCCTGTTGTCACACAACAAAAATGTTAACTTATAAATAACTTAGTAGTATACGAATATTGACCACATGATCAGTATACAGAAGTACTTGCCATTGATCTCAACATCCTCCACAGCCTTTCTAAACACGACCGGAGCCATGTTTGCCAATCGAAGTGTCTCATTGATAACCTATAGACAAGTGACCTCGCCATGTGAAACCTTACAATATAGTTTTGTACTATCCTTAGACAAAATAAGATAAAGTATAATTAGTTACCATGTTGGTGAAAGTCATCTTGTGTCTGTATTCTTCCCAAGTAACTCCACCTTCTTTATCTTCTCTGCTCCCAAGGATTGCCTCGTGCTCTCTCTGCCAAATTACAATTATATATAATTATCAACTTACATATATATAAGCTTGTTTATTCGTGTCTAACAAATAAAACATGGGTCTTGTACCAAAAAAAAATCCTCAAAGTTGTCAGAAAATAAAAATAAATTATACAAAGTCAGAAATATATATGCTAAACCTTATACGAATCTTGTAAATGTTTTTATGATCACATATCTTAGTTTATAAGAATTATAACGGTAAATTTAGACTCTTCACCGTGAAGACTTCAATTTAATATATTATTTATTAAAATTTAGAAGACGAGTTATATTGAGTATTATTTTTGGTTTCGTATTGTTCATTTACATTTTTTGGAAGTGACGGGTAAAACTGTAAAAATTGACGATATTAAAGATTGTTTTGCACACAACCCATAAAACATACGTATGCAAAATTTACTAGCTTCTTGAAAAAATTTACCTTCAATTCAGCGAGAACTTTTGGGTTTTCCGATAAGAATTTGACCGCGAAACAAATGGTCTTAACGGTGAGCTCCTGAGTTACACAAGAAAGAACAAAGATGAGGCTTACAATAGCATCTTGGGTCACTAAGTTTCCTTCTTTCTCAAGCTCTTCCATCACAGTGTTAAGGAAGTCATCATGCTTCTCTTTCGACGCGTTCCTCTTCGAGTAAACATCATTTAACAGCCGCATCCCATCCCGGCATGCCTGTATATTAATTAAGTATCATATAGGTTTAGTTTTGCTAGCTCCCAAGTAAATGTATATATAAGAAAAAAAATTTAAGTCTCACCTGAATAGTAGTGTAGATTCCTTTCACGGCAGAGAGAGTAAAAGATGGCCTGAACCAATCGAAACTAAAGGCCTTGAAATTGTCCATAAGCTTTGCTTGAGTCTCTGGTTTGAGATTACTTATCATTTTTGGTGTTAAGTGAGCTGTTATCATCTACAAAAGATTAAAAAAGAGCTAGTGAGAGACTATACCAAACACAACAACAATATAGTCAGATTAAAAAGGATTAGATCAATTACACTGAAAACTGTATCCCTAACATCAAATCTTCCTTGGCTAGCTTTGGAACTGAGATGTTCTCGGGTCACGCGGTCCATATCTTTTATCATATTCCGCTTTAGATTCTCAGAGCCGACAAGCTGCATACTTATTAGTTTGATGTTCTTGTGTATGCTTCCTGTCTTAAAGAATATGCTCTCTTTTCCTAGTGACTTCACTAACCCATCTGGATAACTTAAGTTGAAAGACTTGTTCTCTTGCCGCAAAATCTCCATGTTCACATCTTTATCTGTCGAAACCACGGTTTTGAATCCAAGAAGGTTCGTTCGAAACAATGGCCCGTACCTAAAAACATTCAGACAAGACACAAACATATGCATAAGGACATAAACATACAAGATCTTGTCAAGAGAGAGATAGGGTGATTCAAATCTGAACCTTGACATCCTCTTCTTGAAAAAAGGCGAGATCTCGTAGAACCCATGAGGCTTATAGAAGTCGAACGTCTCTCCGATGATCGGGAAACCCATTGATCCTGGAGGTAACTTGCCATTGAACTTGGGGTTTGACCATCGGTAACACCAGTGACTAATCCTAACAACCACTAAGGCAATAACACATAGTCCTGAGATCCACAACAAATCACTCATCTTGTTGAAACTATGAACTCTCGTACCCCTTCAAGTATACATTCATGGGTAATAAATAGATAAATGGATCATACGGTAAAATACATATGGTAAAATAAAACTTGATGGTAAGAAAATGGAAAATTACTATTTAACTTTCATTAGGACAGAAGAAGGCGACCATTTTAACTAGGCCTTAGCAAAATAATCGAACCTAAAGAATTGGTCCAAATCCAATCTGAATCCAAATCCAAAATTTAAAATATCCGAACGGGTTCTAAATTTTAAGACTAAAAAATTCAAACCCGAATCTGAGTTGAAGCTGAACCCGAACGGATACTTAAATACACACATAGTATAAGTAGTAATAATATATAATAAAATTTATGTTTGTAATTATCTAAAAGCCCAAAATATTCAGATTTTTGTATATTATAGATATTTTTAAGTATTAAGCTATTTTTTAACTAAATTTAGGTAAAAACTACTAAAGATTTTGAAATAGTTTATGTATTTTTTAGTAGCTTGGACATATTTGAATACTAAAATTTTTTTATGTTTGGAAACTATTTCAAGTAATCAAAACGTAAATTCGAAATAGTCATGTGAATCAAAAATTTAAAATATCTGAATAGGTCCTCTATTTCTAGATCCGAAAACTTAAAACAAAATCCGAACGGATAGCCAAACGCGCGGATAGGCCTGGGCAAAATACCCGGACCTGAAAATCCGACCCGAACCCGATCCGAAAAACCCAATCCAAACCCAAATCCAAATTCTTGAAATACCCGAACGGGTTCTATATCTCTAAACCCGAAAATTCAAATCCGAACCCGAACCGAACCAAAACCCGAACGGATATCCGAATATACCAATAATATAAATATATAATAATAGTTTATTAATAATATATGTATTTGTATTAATCTAATGTCAAAACTATCCAGTTTTTGTATATTTTGGATTTTTGTAAAGTTAGAAACTTTTATTTAAACAAATTTAAGTAAAAAAAATTATATAAGTTTTGAAATTTTTTAGTAGTTTGGATATATACTCAAATTTTGAATTTTGAAAATTTCGGGTAACCCGAACCCGAATTCAAAATACATGACCCAAACCCGCTGCGAATCTGAAAATCTAAAAATACCCGAATATGTTCTATATTTCTAAATCCGAAAACCTGAAAATTTAAAATATCCGACTTGAACCCGAACGAGTACCCGGATGCCCATGCCTATGTCCGGAGTAGTTTTGCCCGACGACTTCAAAGATTCCCTAGTATATATCATATTATATAAAAGCTAGAAGCCCACGAGTAACTCATTGATTTAAAATAGTTATAAAAGTACATAATGATTAGAATATAAGGCGAAGGTAGATAGCGTGAGTGACCGACCAATGATCACAAAAGCCATCTCTTATTTATTGAAAAGAAAATCATTGACGTTGAAATGTCACATTCACCTTTTCGCTTAGTATTCATTATTTTATTCTTTAGGTTCAATGCTTTTTTCATATATATATTTTTGGGAAAATATCATTTAAATCATGAACATTCAAATTTTGGCCATTTAAATCACAAATTTTCTATGTGATCATTTAAAACATAAGTTTTTCGTGGATTTAATTTTTAAAACATCATCTTTCGTTAACTAAGCTAAAATAAACGTCATATCCAAAAATTTGTTAACAAAACAGCTAACAAACATTTAGACATCACTAATCCATCTCTACAAATAAGAGACGACTTTGTTTAAGGGTAAAAAATGTGAGAAATTAGGGATTTGATTTTTGGATTATGATGTTAAAATCACGATTTTGAGATATCGTTTTAGCATTAAACGACGTTGTTTCTCACTAACAAATACGATTAACGATGGATAGCTGCTCTGCTGACGGATTTCAGGATATGATGTTCATTTCGGCTTGGGAAACGAAAGATAATGTTTAAAAAAACAAATTAACGATAAGTTCATGTTTTAAATGGCCACATAAAAAGTTCGTGATTTAAATGGCCAAAATTTGAATGTTCGTGATTTAAATGACATTTTTACCATATATTTTTTCTTATTTCTTTATTATAACTGTACAGTAAATACATATATTTTTTGGTTAATTTTTTAGAAAATAACAATATATGATAGTACAATATTCTTAAATAAATTATATAAATCACGTTATAAATTTCTTTCGATTTTGGGTGTCAAAGACTTCAAAAAAATATCTTATATACCCTTTATATTTTTATATAGATGATTTTTTAAGTTTTTAAATCTATGCAAAATTAAATATTATTTTATTATTTTTATCAATTTTGATACTGCGGATTCATTTTTCATTGATTAAATTATGTTTAAATAATTACTAAATAATGTTCTTCATTAAAAATAAACAAAACTTATTGATTTTTTTCAGTTGTGTGCATTGTTCTAAATATCATCTATTATAGAACCAAGAAGTATTTTTTTTCTGAAAAAGGCTTGCAATTTAAATAATAATGCCCAATGGGCTTACATATTTCCGGAATAAGCCCATACAATAACCCATAGGGCCCAATCCGACATCTAACCAAACTAAACCAAACTGAAACAAAACCGATCCGGTTTTGGAGTACCAAAATTAACCGGTACCCACAGAAACCCTAATCTACAACGCAAAACGCGTCGCAGCCGCCGTCCACAACTGCGGATGCACACCGACCGGACCTCCGGTGTACCTGGACGACGCGGATCGAACGGAGGAGGTGATCCAAGATCCGTTTGCCTCTCCGCCACCGTAGAGAAACTTTGAGGAAGAGGAAGAAACCGAGCTGTTGGTGTCGAGAAAGCTTCAAGCTCCGACGTGAGATTGAAAGGCGGTAGGGAGTAGATCTAGGAACCGTCAACAGTGGCTTAGCTCCACCCGACCGGAGTCAACCTCCCCCATCAAGCGGCGGCCTAATGAAGCCTCCAGAATCTCCGGTTCCAGACCTAACCGTCTTCTCTCTCATGCTTCGCCGTGAAGACTTCCTCTTCCATTCTGCGGCGCTACACCACCGGTGGAGTCATCGACGGTGTCTCGCAGAAGCTATCCCTCTTCGCTTCTCCCTTGATTTTGATTCGTTTGTGAAGCTTAGAAGATGCAGCAGATTGCGAAGTTGAAGAACCATGAGCCATAGAGTCCTCATCGTCGCCGGAATCGACGAATGACCCATCGGAAAAGCAAAAAGTTGTGCTCAGAAGAAGAAAGAGAAGGGAGAAAGAAATCGCCGCGAATGGATCTCACGCGCACGATTTCTTTCTTTTACGTTTTCCAAATAATTATTCTTAGAACCAAGAAGTATTTGCATGGGTGAAGTACATAAAACCAATAATGGACGACAAATAAATTCAAGTTCAGTTCGAGAACTTCCTTACTCTAGGTGAAGTACAGTAATTGCTATATTAATAATTGTTATAAATCAATAATTTTGTTCAGTCACTATCAAAATCAACACAGTTTCATTGAATAATAAAACATTATTCTTTTTATTATAACTCATTTGTAAACAAAGGAACTATAAATAAAGGAACTTATAGAAAAAACTATATTATAACAAATGTACTTTTAAATAGGAAACTAAAAAAAAATGAACAAGCATTATATTTATTATTGATAAATTAATATTTATAGAAATTGATATATCTTTAAATTGACTACAAACGATTTATAGCTCACCACATATACTGTAGTAAGAAATCTTTTATCAATTTAATATTTATTTCATTTTTCCTGGAAAATTTATTATTTGGTTCCACAAAAGTTTGTCAAACTCATTGATTGGTTGGTCCATAATAGGCTTTGCTCTTTCCCAAGAAGAAGCTTTCACATTTATTAAGGGCAGCAAAGATGGTTTGGTTTCAATTATTAATGAATCTACCAAAAAGTTCAATCTTTTTCCAGTTTTCTTAATTTAGCTTAAACTTTTTCAAAAGTTTCTATTTTCTAACAAACATTATTCACATTGTAGATAAGGATTTTTGGTTTAAATGTTTTTATATTCGTTCGAAAAGAAAAAGGCTTACTAAATCTATGGTATGAGTATGACATATTCGATAGCTATATGCCTATATGACATTTAGAGCTGTAAAAGTAGGAAAAAGGGCATATGTATACCTACGACTAACATATTGCATGCATTGCGTTGGTTGAATCGTTAGGAACTAACTAAGTGTTAATAGTTTAATTGAAATAAATTTTGGCAAAAACTTAAAGGTTGTTCGGTTCGAATAATGCTTGGAACGAAATTATATAAAATGTTTTGATCACGAATTTCAGAAAATGTATGGGATTTGGCCCAGAACCTCTTAGTTAAACAAAAAAAAAAAGAATTGTAAAGACTTAACTATAAGGGTGCTAATTTAAAAGAATCAATTTAAATTCGATACAACATGAGTGACAAAACAATGGTAATTGGTAATAGAGTTTAATCATTCACTCTTTGCCAAAAATTTCAAGGACCACAAATGTATGCATTAGGTTATCTCTATTTTGGAGTACTATATACTGGTCCCAGCTCAATCTCTAGTGACGAAAGAACGATTAAATATTAACAAAATACCCAAGATCAACTAAATACAAAAGTTTGTAATTGACCTAACGCCCTAGACACCATCCTTTGTGGATCCCTAAACCTCATCTCAACATGTGAGTTCCGACCTTCTTCAACGATGACACTACTCCGAGAATCTTAAAAGACTTATTTACTAACCGTACATGTAATGTTTTGATCGCCATTATTCTTAATGGGTCCAACATATTCTTTAGACTCGTAAGCCCGCCTTTAACTGACAGTCGATATGTTACATCAGAAATTCTTTTATAAGAATTATTTACTGGTTTTAATATTATCATTTGATTTTTTCGTGATTTGTTTTTTTGCACGGTTGGCAATCACTTCCTGAAAGGTCGCTCATTTTGATGTGTGTCTTCTAGAATCCACTATCGTCTGTGTTTGGCTTTGATACCACTTGTAATCCCCAATCGTCACTTTTCTTAATGAACCTACGTTCTCTTTCTGCTTGTGGGACCAACATTAACCGACCGTTAGTTTGCTACTTTTGAGCGGCTTGAAAGACTAGTTTACGGATTATACAAATCACCACGTAATAGTTCTTTGTATTTTCTCCACACTCACATAATTTCTTTTTAAATTTACTTCAGCATAAATATTTTTA